GTGTGTGTTTATATATACAGACTTGAAGGATTAATTTTATTATTTTAAATGTCCAAGACTCAGTTCTGATAAATATATGTATGAATATCCAGCTGGTCAGAACTCATTGATCTGTATGAAAAAACGCATGTGAAACGCAAAAATACTTAGTTTAAGCCACTGTTTTAGTCAGTTAAATTAGTTTTCTATTTTAAATTTCCATAACTGTAAAATTCACAATTTCCTCAGCTTTATTTTGAACCATTGTTTGTAAAAATCGAGTAAGAAATAAGGAAGTTATAAGAGTTTTTCATCGGGAAGACATCTCACAGTCCATTGACCTCCATTCATTTTGTTGGCTCCTCATTGCGTAACAGAGATCCAGTGCGTACACGTCAGTAGGGGTATGGTATGTATGTGAGCATACATAAGCAACGCGCTAGCCACGCCCAATACCGTATTATATGGGTGTGTGTTTCTGTCAGATGCTAACTTTACCCACAGCTGATCCCTTTTTAGTCTGAGCCTTGCTTCTTATTTCTATCAAACATATAATTCTGTCCCCCCCCCCACCACCAGGTTTTACACAGACCTTAAAAACAGACAGTGTGGCTTTAAATTAGCTTTGTGAAGATTTATAAAACATGGGGAAAAAACTATCCATCTTTGTCAGATGACGTCTGCTTTCTCTTCCGTGTCATGAAATAGCAAAACTATTAGTTTGTTTACACTCTGTTCTCAGTGTATATAAGCTGTTAATTGAAATACTGAGTAAAGTAATTTTCAAAGTTTTAATAAGAAAAACAATAACAGAATAAAACAGATTAGTCAGCAGCTATCAGGCCCAAATAAAGAGTTTAACTCTGTCCTGTAAATTTTTAAGTTGTGCATAAAACACACTACTGAAAACATTCGAAATGTACTTAATAATCTTAACATAGGAATATTTAAACTGAAGTAAATCCGAACTTCATCCGAGCTACAAATAAGCAGTTCTGGCTGATGCTAACTAAGCTAGCTACATAGCATTAGCTAGAGAAAATCGAACTCACATATACTCCTGTTCTTCATTGTTGTCAGTCAAAACGACCATTTTATACAAGTTAAAAGAACAAACCGAAAGGCCTCGCAGACAGTATGACAAAGGGGACACAAAATAAGCGCTAAARCTAAGGTCAAAACATCGAATAGTGCTTGTTAGCTTCTAGCTTGGGGGCTAAGGAAAAGCTTCGATCAAAGATAAAAAAACAAACACCAGAGTGCTCACTCCGTCTTAGTTTACAACATCGACCTACTTTCGACGCACATAGATCATTTATTAGACAGAGGCTTAGCAAGAAACATCCAAACATACTACTACTACTACCACTACTACTACTACTACTACTAC